AAAAAAAAAAAAAGAAAGAAAAATGAAATGCAGTGTTTTTGTAATTTAACTACCAAGGCAGAATAAAACCCTATAAAGAACAGAAAAGATTAAAGAAATCAATGAGAACAAAGCAGTTGATTCCTATAGGCCAAAAGAGCTGGCGTCACTGAAAGTGTGACCTCTGCCGAAAGTTAGTGGAGCTACTGAGAAGTCTGGAGACTACCCAGCTGCAAAGATGACTCACCTCAGGTGGTCTCTCCCTTTACCCTCCACTGTGAAATCAAAATAGGTTTCTAAAAATACTCAGAAAGGCATTCTAAACCAGAGAGGGTATTAAAGGGAAGCATACATGAGGTGGAATTCTCCAGCCCAGAGGACGTCACTACCTCCTGATGTGACTGGTCTGTTGTGTGTGATGTTCTTATAAAGCATTAATTATGTCCTGCGATCACCTTCACTCAGCAGCTCCTGCGGGGGCAGTGCATGCACACATTGGGTGTCATGAAGGTGTCACCCTACTATTGTGCCTTCTCCTCATGTGTGTTCTGACTCTTGGGAGCTGAACAATCAAACAAGATAAAGGATCTAAGCCTGGGGCACTGGCATACAAGCTGTGGGCTCTGGTATGTCAGAGAGAAACCTTAAGATCCCCTGGCTAGAAGGAACCTGTCAGGTATGTCCACCCATTCTCTCTATCTCCTGATGCACCTGCAGGAAAGGACGAAGAAATTATCCCAGCACTAACAGAGCCTCTGCCCACAACCCCTGAGACTCCCATCAAGCCACGCCTGGGAGAGTTGACTCTGACAGATGTCACCCCCGACTCCCTGACCCTCTCCTGGACGGTCCCTGAGGGCCAATTTGACCACTTTCTGGTCCAGTACAAGAACGGGGACGGACAGCCCAAGGCAGTGCGGGTGCCAGGGCACGAGGATGGGGTCACCATCTCAGGCCTGGAGCCAGGTCACAAGTACAAGATGAACCTGTACGGCTTCCATGGGGGCCAGCGTGTGGGCCCTGTCTCTGCCATCGGGGTGACAAGTGAGTAGATGATGGGAGCCCCAGGCTGGGACCCAGAGTGAGGTTCACTCTTCTGCTCTTGGTGGCGGCGAAGCAGAAATGGTGGCAGGGGTCTGGTCAGTAACAAAGACCAGCTTGAGGCTGCCACTGTGGCTCCTTTTGTGCCTTCCCCTGGGGTTGACTAATGTTTCCTCCTGGGCAGGAGAGGCCTTCAGGAGCTTTACTGTGTTGGTGACTGTCCCAGGTTCCCCACAGCTGACCCCAGAACCTAGTCTTGTTTGCTAGCTGTGAGCCGAGCAGGACCACTCAGCCCCAAGTGGGGGGGCTCATCTGAACTGACCTCAGCTTCTCCCCTCGTCATGGCCACAGTTTTTCTCTCCTCCTCAAGATCTGAGGACACTCCCCAGGTGCCCTGCCTCACTTTCTGTCTCTCCGTTCTCCTTCTCAGCCACAGTGGAAGAGACCCCTGCCCCCATGGAGGTGGAGGAGACCCCCAGCCCCACAGAACCCAGCACGGAGACTCCAGAGCCCCCAGAGGAGCCACTCCTGGGGGAGCTGACAGTGACAGGATCGTCCCCAGACTCGCTGAGCCTCTCCTGGACCATTGCCCAGGGCCGTTTTGACTCCTTCACTGTCCAGTACAAGGACAGGGATGGGCAGCCTCAGGTGATGCATGTCAGGGGCGAGGAGCGAGAGGTCACCGTGGGTGGCCTGGAGCCCAGGCGCAAGTACAAGATGCACCTGTACGGCCTGCACGAGGGGCGGCGCGTGGGCCCCGTGTCCACTGTGGGCATGACCAGTGAGTAGTGCATAGGGCCCCCAGGGATAACTGACTACCTTTCCTTCTCGGGTACCTGGCTGACTGTTTCACTCTCTCACCAACCCTGTGGGTCTGGGACTTGCTCTCCTTTGTGCTTTCTCTCCGTGGCTTGCAGCCCCTGCCTGGTAGGTTGGCCTTGTCTACCTGCAGCTTCATTTTCCACCCTGGCCTGGCATTCCTCTGACACTTAGCCACTGGTCACCAACAAGGGCAAAATATGGCAGGCACAAGCCAAGTCTGACTTACCAGTCTTCCTTTCTTCCCATCCGAATTGCAGCATTCTTTGTTTTTATTTATTTATTTTTATTTTTTTTGAGACAGAGCCTCAAGCTGTCCCCCTGCATAGAGTTATGTGGCATCACAGCTCACAGCAACCTCCAACTCCTGGGCTCAAGCGAGTCTCCTGCCTCAGCCTCCCAAGTATCTGAGACCACAGGCGCCCGCCACAATGCCCAGCTATTTTTTGGTTGCAGCCATCATTGTTATTTGGCGGGCCGGGCTGGATTTGAACCCACCACCTTAGGTGTATGTGGCTGGCGCCTTAGCCACTTGAGCCACAGGTGCCGAGCCAGCATTCTTTGTTAAAACTACATACACGCATGCACACAAGAGAAACAACCCAGCATCAGACCATATCAGGATAACTGAATAATTGAGGTAGCATCTATTAAATAAGCTATTATATCACCATTGAAATGTTTTAACACAGACCATTACTTTGGGGGGAAAAAAGAGCTCCAAATTTTTGTAAGGATGCTAATCACAACCGTTTGAAAATACAGACATTTTGCAAGCTATAGTTCTGTTAAAATGGGAGAAATTAAGAAAATTACAGGCATGGCAAGAAGACTGGAAAGAGGCACATGCCATAGGAGGCATGATTTGTTAGACAGGATAGAATCTTCCATTACATTCTTTTTCTATTTTATCCTATTCTGCATTGTTCAAATTTTTTTAAATGACAAAATTTCTTTTTTCTTTTTCTTTTTTTTTTAGGCAGAATCTCACTATGTTGCCCTCTGTAGAGTTCTGTGGCATCACAGCTCACAGCAACCTCAAACTCTTGGGCTTAAGCGATTCTCTTGCCCCAGCCTTGGGAGGCTGCCTCCCACAACACCTGGCTGGTTTTTGTTGCAGTTGTCGTTGTTGTTTAGCAGGCCCAGGCTGGGTTCAAACCCCCTAGCCTCAGTGTATGTGGCTGGCGTCGTAACCACAGTACTACGGGCACTGAGCCAGGCAAACATTTCTTTTGTAATCAAGTGAAAAGACAAAATGTATACTATCTTCCCCTACTTTGCATTCCTATGCCTTTTCTATCACTCTTGTAACTTATTTCATTTTTAATTATGAGAAAGTCATAATTTTTAGTCTATAAGAAACCAAGGCGGGGAGGAATCACAAGATGAATTAAATACCAAAAGTGCAGTCAGGCCGCCTTTATTAAGCCATTCTCAGTCAGATTCCCAGGCCTGACTTATAGCATTTCTTGAGAGATCCTACACGTGGAGAAAATTCGGCCCCTCTGTGAGCTGGTCTCTTATGGGGCAGTTCCTGCCTCTGTGACACTAAGCAAATGGCCTTATGAGGGGTGCTGTCACCTCCTGAAGACCATGCAGACAGACTAGCCATTCTCATTCAGTCTCCCTGACTCCTAGGGGAGAAGCCTCCCTTCTAAAAATGTGTTCAGAGGACGTTTGTGTTTGGGGGAAGAAGGCGAGTGGAGAATCATTGGAAAATGAACACTAGACAAATCCACAGCCTAGAGGGAAGCGGTAATTCTCATCCACTGTTCAGTCGTGTCTTCTTTGCTATTGTTGTGGCAAATGGCAGCCTGTACAGAGGAGAGAGGCAGCCCACTCCCTGCCCTTTCTGTTCTGTCTACACCACCCTCCTCACCCCCACCACCCATAGGATTAATAATTTCTATAGGTCATAATTTTATTATTAGTCCACATTTTTCTAATGAAAAATATACAGTGATATTATGGAAAGCTTGAAAAATGGGAGGATGGGTATTACAATCCCATCTTCTGATCCAGTGACAGCCAGGAGTAACACCTGCAACCTGTGCATTCCCTTCCTGCATGTTGTTTTTAAATTGCAGTCAGAGTGTTCATATAATTCTTGGCCCTTACTCTTTTGTACACAGTTACATTGTAATCTTCCACCTTGTGGCTACACAACCAGCATTAGTCATCATTTTAATGGTTATTTGAAGCTTTATGATGAAAGTGCTGTAAGAAAATTAATCATCTTCCATGGGTCATTTGGGTTCCTGACACATTTTGCTGTCATGAATAATCCCATAATGAATTCCTCCATGTTATAACTTTTTCCTGTTGTTAATAATTTTCTTAGGAGAGATGCCCAGAACTGGGATTACTGGGTCAAAGGAAATGAGCATTACTTTGGCTCCTGATACATATGTCCCAATTGCCTTCTGAAGGATTATAACAGAGCAGTCCTGCCAGTAGTACAGCACAGGGTTGGGAGCCACCTCACATGCTGTTATTCCAAGAGTGACCAAATAGTAAACACAAAGACTGCATAGCCAGCTGCAGACCCTACAGCTTGAGGAGTATACCTGATGCATGTCCTCTACTGTCCATCACAGGAAAGTACTGATTGAACCTTTACCCCCTCTCCTTTTAGCCTTACAAGAAGAGGTGGACGAGACCCCCAGCCCCACAGAACCCAGCACAGAGGTCCCAGAGCCCCTGACAGAGCCGCTCCTAGGGGAGCTAACAGTGACAGGATCATCCCCAGACTCACTGAGCCTCTCCTGGATCGCCCCCCAGGGCCACTTCGACTCCTTCACTGTCCAGTATAAGGACAGGGATGGACGGCCCCAGGCAGTGCACATCAGTGGCGAGGAGAGAGAGGTCACTGTAGGGGGCCAGGAGCCCGGGCGCAAGTACAAGATGCACCTGTATGGCCTGCACCAGGGGTGGCATGTGGGCGCTGTGTCCACTGTGCGCATGACAGATGACTATAGTGGGGGAAACAGGGAACAGGAAAGATGGCCCTATTCTCTACCATATTCATACACATATTCTTGTCCTAATGGGGCTCAGACTCGTGGAGAGACTGGCTGTGAGGCAGCAAATAAAGCACAGGCGTGAGCATGTGACTGGGGCCTAGGACCACACCT